AAGAGCAAAACTACGTCCGTAACGGAATTTCATCTTTTTTCGTAGTTCCATATGCGGTGATTACTCCCCATTGCGAAGTTTCACTGTGAGAAAGGACATGATCAGTTTTCACTAATTCCGGGTAAGCAACCAACCTATATTCAAAAGATAGCGCATGTCGAGTATGATCGAATACAACTATTTTTAAATCTTGAAACGGTGCACAAATAGTATTTTAGACCAAATCATTATTGAAGTGAAATGCAACTTTTTGTATAATTGATGTTGGCAGTATTTCACCTATAACTCCTGTTCCTGTGAATCGATTTTAACAATTGTTTCTTTTATTTCACTCCTCTTGCAGTGTCCTACTTACACACCAAATTTCACCTTCCTAGCTCATCCCCTTATGAAGTTACGGAGCTTTAACTTGAAAAAATGCGTTTTTTTCGGGAGGTATGGGAGCGAAAATGCCTTTTCTGTGAAAGATTCGTTCAAAAAGTGTACATAATACTAAACTCAATGTGCAAATTACCAAGTTTGTCAAGTATGTGCAAAGGCTTTGCTCATGTACTATACGTAGGGGCAAGCTATTGAAAAAAAATCACACAATAGCAAAAAAAAACTTATTCCTTGATTATAAAAACATTTATTGTGACTAGCGGAACGAGATTTATCACTGGACTCACTGGAAACCTTGCGGTCTGACTCATTGGAGTACTTGTTATTATCATCTCGTGAATCATCATCATCGATATTACTATCATTGATTGACTCTAAACCATCATCACCATCAATATTACTTTGATTCATCATCATCACCATCAATATTACTTTGATTCATCATCATCACCATCAATATTACTATCACTCATCGTCATCATCTGTATTTTGATATTCATACGAGATGATAATAACATGTACTCCAATGAGTCAGACCGCGAGGTTTCCAGTATGGAGAATGATTAAGAAGAATGCTTCAAACAGCAAACCAACGTTCGAAAAACAACATGAAGACATAAAAGTTTTAGTGCTGTTTATGGATTTTTGTCATTTATATGTGTATTTTGTATAAACCTCTTTCTGCTAGTCACAATAAATGCTTTTATAATCAAGAAATAAGGTTTTTTTGTTGCAAAAGATGTTACTGTCATTATCGATTAGAATACGTCTATGAGATACTTAAAGATTTCTTTCAAGCAATTTAGAACAGATAATTTTCTACAGCTTAGAACGAAATAAAAAGGACACGATGCTTCGTTTTTAATATTCAGTTTATTATTTGTTTATGAACTGGCAAAAAATGGCTTCCTAGCGAACCGGATTCTCCACAGAACCTGGTTTTCCAAATTCTAGAAGTTCGTACATCGATAAATTCAGAAATTGTAAAAATCCGTCAATGCAGAAATTTAGAAATTCTAAAAATCAGCAAATGAAGAAATAGAGGAGTCGAGAAATTCTAATGTCTGTAGAAACTGACGTTCTTAAACTTCAGAAATTCTGAAAAGTGTAAAATCAGACTTCTAAAAAACCCGAAATTTAGAAATTGCAAAAATTCCTAAACTCAGAAATTGCAAAAATCAGTAAATTCAGAAACTCCTTAATTTTTGAAAATTATATTGAACCATAGATGTAGCAGAAGCAGACGAGATACACGTTTGATAAAAGTTTCACTTTTATCTATTCTGTGCTTACCGAGATAGAGGACGCACAAGTTAGAAAAATGAAATCCCGTTACGTTTGGACAGGCCGATATGCACAACATCGCTTAATTTCAAATTTAGAACTTTTACGTATGCCGGACGTCTATGGGATGCCGGCAAGTGGCAGTTTCATCATCTTTGCTACCAGTGACAAGCTTCTGACATGGTCGCCTATCGTCGTTATCAGTCATCAATTGCATCGCTGGCCAGAAGAATAACCTGACGTACAGCTTTTCGCTCTACTACTTAAGCTTTCCCATACGCACTCACTATCACATAATAACTTTAGGAAAAGCTACAACTTAAGCGGAGAAAATGTACAGTACGTCGCAACATAGTAAGTCAACTACGCGAACGTTTGGTCCAAGGGACTCTAAAACATAATCACCTTACTCAACATTATTACAGAACTTTCGACGCCGACCTTCGAACAAAGTAGCTTTGAAGTACACGATGAACAACAAAACTCTCAAGTCATGCTGTCAAGTATGAAACCACCCATGTTGAAGTTACGAGAGACTTTTTTGCAAAAAATTGTGAAAATTCAGGTCCGTTGTTTTGAAAAAAACAGTAGTAAAATTTTCGTGTCTCGTGTAACATTACACTCATGAATTCCTTCTGTGTTTTTCTGCAGAAACAAAACTTTTTACGATAAAACGGAAGAAAATACCACCGTTTTTATGCATAAAATATTATTGTCAGTGATAACAGCAATAAAGCTTTATATGTTTCTCAGACAATCACCTGACACGCTCATCGAACCCGCCTATAGACAAAGCCTCGTGGCTCTACCCAAGTCCGCTGTCCGCAGTCTTCTCCACGCTAAGTGGAGTCACTTAGAGAAATCTCTAAGTAAAGTTTCAGTCGAAAAAGACCACTTATGTCAATATACCGCTTTTTCCAATAATGCACTAGTTACGGTGACCCATCGATGAGTCATTGCAATGAGCCATCGTCTTTTTGCATTGTTAAACAAAAAAACATTTTGCGAAAATTTTATTGAAAAACACAGGCAGTAGAACGTAAAAGAAAGATTCTGCGATAACAGACAAAAAGTTTTCGTTGTCTTGTTTATTTTTGTAGGGTAAAAATACAGCGCAAGAAAATGTATATAAGAACCATGCGTTTTCTGATGTTGTGTTAGTGTGGCCAGAAAAGTGCCAAAAAACGCACATTTCTACAGAAATCGTTAAAACATGATATGCGTCCTGGCACTCTCAGAAAATCACCTGTCTCCTTGAAGTCGACTGAAACTTAACCTAAAAACAACTAATATCAAGTGTGTGCCTCGCTTCTCGATGCTTTAGAAGTATAACTCCTTTGTATAAATTTAGAAAGTTTTTGTTTTTCGTATAATAACTCGACAGAGGCATAAGTCAAATTTAGCCTAGTCGTTTTATTGGTCTTTGAACTTTATTATCATCACTACTATTTGTATGTAAACCGTTCTCTAAATCGATGATATAATCATTTAAATAAACACATTGTTGTTGATCGTTAACTGCTTTTTCTAACATCAATATTTCATCATCAGAGTATTGTTCCCATCTATCTTCTTCTATAGTTGACCATGGATTTAAATTTGATTTCCAGAACCATACAACACGTTCAGATCTCATCTGCTGGCCCTCAGGTTGTTGTTTGGGTTGATGCTTTAAATGAGAAAAGAAGTTTTCTTAGATTAAAGTAATTGACGCAACACTTCTCACTCAGACACGTTACTGGAATGACGGTATGTGTCCGTGTAGAGCTGTTTGTCTTCAATTATTACCTTTTCCGTAGGGGATACTAAAACCTTCGTCGTTTGATTTTGCTTCTCAGGAGAAGAAATTGTTGAACGAAGTGCCCATCTTTGTGTCCATTCTTTTGCTTTTATATTAAAAAGCTTAGGATCTTTATCGTTAAGTTCAAAATCATCTGTTATACGATATTCATTATCTGGATTGGACATTAATGATAATATTTTTAATAAAATATCTTCTATTTTTATACTGGGTGACCATTGGTCATATAACAACTCTAATCCAATTTCACCCTTATTGTTAATATTCAGATGTAAAATTTTGGTTTCAAATCTTACTTTTGGAGGTTTAAACGGATAGTTTTGAGGTATGCGTATATCAAGATCAAATAGACCGTTTTCATACGGTGTTCCTTCCGGGCCCTGTATTGTTGCTTTCAAGTGATAAATATCATGCTCATCAATAACCATACAATTTATTCGTGGATTAAGATTTTTAAGTTCTCCCAGTTCTTTTTGTAATCTTTTATTAACCTTTACTTGTAAGCTAGAAGGATCCATTCTGATTTATGCGAATATCATATGTCAAATACACACAAATGATGAACAAATACAACCACAGTACAGAGAGGAAAAAACCGTCTAATAAATAGCGTTATTTAGTGAGCGAAATAATATTTACTCATACAGAGAGATAAAAAATTGTTTGGAAAGACATACGAGAAGGATGTTCGGATGATATTTATGGTGAACTTCGATCGAATCATGTGACACAACACTACTCATTTTCACACGAGATGAACGTTTTTAACGCTGTGACATACAAAATTTATTTTTCCTTCCAAAAAAAAGTCAGATTCGTGATCAGCATGAAAAGTTGCGTCTAGTGATGTGCCCCTATCGATTTTCTAATGAAAAAAACTCAAAAAAAAACTTGATCAAAGAAATGTCGCATTATGTGGACAAGTCGATCAGTGCCAGAAAAGGTTTCAAGTTTCGCACCAGTGTACACCCGTGCCAAACAAAGAATATCACTCCACACTGGTGCGCACCAATATCATACAATTACCGATAAAAACTTTTTTTTAGTGTTTTCTTTCGTATGACAAGAATGAAGTCGTACTTAATCCCAAAACAGAAAACCAAAGGACTCTCTTTTGTTTTCGGACACAAATGAACTTAACAGCACAATCTCCTTTGCATTTACGCGGTTAATATTTTTCAATCAATGAAACTTCATCTTGTGTCTCTATCAAGGATTGTGTAAAAGAATCAGAAGGAAAGAATCATCTATCCTCCTCCAGCATTCAACCAATAAGCTTCGAGGATAAGCTAGAGGAGAGCTCTCCTCTAGCCTTCTCTTCTAACTTATCTTAACCATTTTGCGGACACACACACACATACAACCATTTTGTAATTCCCTAGACTAAAGTCAAGGGAACAACAAAATTTCACTTTTGCTTCTTAACATAACAATTTCTCCCTGTGCCTACGTAATATTTGAATAATCTTTTCGAATATTATGTGATCAATAAATGGGGT